GTCCTTGAATTTCACACTTGCTTAGCCAACCCCCATAATCATGTAAACCAAATCCTTCCAAGAAATCTCCTAATACGTATATAGCTCCTACTGGTTCTGTTTCTCTAGTTGAACCCTGACCAACACAACAGAACAGCTGAGGTAACAGAGCTCAGGTAAAGGGATCTGCCCGAGGTCACATGACCAGTAACCTGTGGGACTAAGAATGGAAGCCCAGGCAATCTGACTCTTCCCAGAGCCCAGATCAACTCTTTCTCACAGCCTGCACCCAGTCATTAAAATCCAGCCTCTTGCCCTGTCGGTGTGGCTCAGTGGTTGAGTGTCAACCTATGAACCAGGAAGTCACAGTTCGATTCCCAGTCGGGGGCACGTGCCTGGGTTGGGGGCTCGATCCCCAGTAGGGGGTGTGCAGGAGGCAGCCAATCGATGATTCTCATCATTGATGTTTCTATCTCTCTCCCTCTCCCTTCCTCTCTCTGAAAAAAAACAAAAAATCAAAAATCCAGCCCCTCCACTCCTGCTAGAGTCCTCATCTCTCATCTGTCTCCTTTCCTTGTTGTCTCTAGTCATCCACTAGTCAGAAAAATGCTTCTAAGATCTAAGTCAGATCACAGCGCCCCCTTTCTCCAGGACCTTTTAGTGGCTCTTCATCTCATGGCGAAAGTCAAAATTCTTAAAATGGCCTGCAAGGCCCACATGGTCTATCCTGCTCCCCCTATCTCCAGCTTCATCTCTGCTCTCACCTCCTACCACCTTGACCTCTCCTCTTTTCCACCCAGCCACAAACCTCCCTGCCTTGTCTCAAGGAAGCCAGCATGCTCCCACCCCAGGATCTTTGCACTCACTGTGCCCTTGACCTGGACTGCTCTTCCTCAGGTAACCATGCCACTCCCTCTGTCTAATATGCATTCTTGTAAATACAGTTCATCTCACCCATAGAAAACTCCATAAACTCCTTGAAGGCAGGAAGACACATTCCTGTAAACTCAACACCTGACACAGTACCTGGCATACAGCTGGTGCGAGGCCTGCAGCAAGGTCTTCACTCTCAAGGTGGTAGAACTCAGATAATAAAGCAAACGCAAGAGATAACTGTGCGGGGAAGACGCAGGGTGAGTGGAGGGGCAGCTAGGCAGTGGAAAATGGAGGCAGCTTCTCTGAGGGGCCAATTAAGCAGAAATCTTAAGAAGGAGCCAGCCATGTGGGAACAGCATTCCAGGCAGAGGGAACAGCAAGTGCAAAGGCCATGTGGAGAGAACAAATGATGTGCTTAAGGAATGGCTGAGCAGAGAGTGCTGGAGTGGGAGTGGGGTGGGCGGAGCAGGAGAGGGCAGGGTGGCAGGCAGGGGCCAAAGCACACAAGACTCTGTAGGCTGAGATAAGTTTATTTTGGTTAGGATGGGAAGGACTTTGGTGGATTTAAGCAGAAAAGCTCACTATTTGGTACATGTTTTGAAGCACTCACTCTAGCTGTGGTGTAGATAAAAGTGTAGAGGGGCAAGGGTGGAAGCAGGGAGGCCAAGGAGGGAGCTGGGTCAGCAGGCAGAAATGAGGGGAGCTTTCCAATGGGGGGAGGGAGAATTGGACGGATCTAGAGGTCAGGTTGGCAGGTAAGGGAAAGCGAGTAGTCAAGGGTGACTTCTAGATGTTGGGCTTGAGCAACAGGGTGGATGGTGGAATGGGGAAGATGCAGGAAGGAGCAGAAATTTGAGGCTGTTTTCAAGGTCACTGGTCCTGCCTTCTCCAAAAGGCTGTATGCTGCCTGAGAACTTTCTCCATGTTGATTGCACCCTTCCCACCAGGCCTGGTTTCAAGTCTTGACTCTGAGCTCAAAAAGAGATCCCTCCAAGAGATCTTCCAAGGAGGAGCTGGGGCTTTGGGGTCTAAACTGTGTGAAGTGATGAACAGCATTCATTTTCTCCAGGCATGTCCTTGGCTGGAGTGACCCTGGGAGGCTTCATGAACCTCATGCTTGGACTCAAATCCTCACTTTGCCACAGACTTTGGCCAGCTTCCCACTCAAAGCCTGTTTCTCATTTGTAAAATGGGAATCCCACCCACCATGCCACGTGGCTCTGAGCAGCAAATGAGGAAACATATGGAAAGTTGCCAGCACATAGTAAATGCTCATTAAATAACTAGCTAGCTAGCACTTTGGGAGGGATTTCCAGGTTGTAGGTAGTGTTCTAAGAACCCTTATATATATTAGTTTATCTAATCTGCATTATAACCACATGAGGTATGTATCAGTCAGGATTCCTCAGAGAAATAAGATATATATGGAAGCTTGGTGAGCTCAAAATCTGATGCAGTGGGCTGGCAGGCTAAATACTCAGGGAAGAATTGCAGTTCAAATCCGAAGGCAGGCTGTTGGCAGAATTACTTCTTGTTCAGGGGAAGAGAGGTCAAATCCTTGTTCTACTGAGGCCTTCAACTGATCAGATGAGGCCAACCCACATTATAGAAAGTAATCTGCTTTGCTCGAAGTCCACTAATTTAAAAGTTAATCTCATTCAAAACCCACCTCCGTAGAAACATTCAAAATAATTCTTGACCAAATGTCTGGGCACCATGGCGGAGCCAAGTTGACACATAAATTTAAATAAATAAAGTTAACCATTACAGTGTGTATGAATAATTTTTTACAATGCGTATGTATACTATCCCCAATTTGCAGATGAGAGAATAGGCACAGAGAGGGTAAGAAACCTGTCCAAGGTCTCAGAGGAGGAAAGCCAAGCTCTAAACTCCTGCTGTCTGGCTCCAGAGCTGGCACTTTAACTGCAACGCTAAGTGGCCATTATCCTAAGCACACCAACGGAAATTAAATCCCTCCATCCACCCTTTTTCTGGCCTGTGAGTCTCCACTGGCAGAGAAACTGGGGGAGGTTTTCCCCAGGTGGGGCCCTGCACTGCTTAAGCAGCAGCACAGAATGTGAGATTCAGAGACTGGGGATGGGGGAACCTGAGGGGTTTTCTGGTCCAGCCCTTGACTTTACAGAGGGAAACTGCGGCCCAGAGTAGAGAAAGGACCCACCCAAGATCCCACGGCTTCAGAAAGTATGATGATGATGATAAATTAATACTTCGTAGTTAGGTGCTGCATGTGAGGTAGATACTATTATCACCTTTGCTTTAAAGAAAATGAGGAAATGGAAGTGGAGGTTATAAAACTTGCCTAAGGTCACACCCAGCCAGAATACAAGCCCAGGCTCAACCAGTACACTACGTGTCTGAGGCACAGGGCAAGTCTCTTGGGGAGGGGCTGTGACAAAACACAGTCCCAGGCTTACAGCTCCTTCCCAGTTCTCCTCCTGGGGCTCTGACTGCAAGTGACAACTGAGGCGACGTTGCAACTCCTTAGGTTCATAAGGCAGCCTACCCTCCTGGCCACGGAGGAAAGGCCTTCTGCACCAGTGGGCAGGCACATCTGAGCCACCCCCTGCCCAGCTGATAGGCCCGTGTACACACATCTCATCCCACAGCCGTACACACCCCAAAAAGGGACACAAAGACATGATCACAGACTCCAACCCACAACCAAACAGCCCAACACACTGGCACACATACCCAGCATCTGTGCACCCAAACAAGCAAACACAGCCTCACAGCGCACAACTATGTAGACTGTCTCAACCCCACATACACACATGCCCCCCCGTACATCAACCAGGATGCAACTTTTCACATCCCAATAAACATATAAGCAAACACCTGTACATGTGAAACATACAAACCCACAGTCAGAAACATACACTATGCAATCACACTGCCCCCCCCCCCC